TACTAGTCACATAATAAAAATGCCAATAAGTATGGCAAAACAATGTAAACTTGAAAAATTAAGAGGCAAAAGAAAATTGGAAAGAAAAAATATTTCAGCTTTTTATCTGTAATTTACATATAAAGAACTTTCCTAAACTAATAGAAAAAAATTTTCCAGAGAAATGGGTAAACATAAGCAGGTAATTCATAGAATAATTATATTATGTAGTCAACCTCAACAAGTATTTATTTATCTACATATTTATTTGATTTTTGAGGCAAGGTTTCATTATGTAGTTCATTATGGCCTTGAACTCACTATGTAGCCTCGGCTGGCCTCAAACTCACAGTGACCCTTCTGCCTCAGTCTCTTGGGTGCTAGAGTTATAGGCATATGCTAACAAGTCCATAGCAATAAACTGTTAAGGAAATGTAAATTTTTAAAAAGAATCAGGAAATAGTAATCAAAATGGAGACTTGCGATAGCACGGATTAGAGGGTCAAGCTTTTCACTCACAGTGTGGTGGAAATGTAATTTTTTCTCTGGAGGAAAAATTACAATATAAAACCTTAAAAATACATATAGACTTAAGACTCTGAAATTCCATCTCTAGGAATTTATGCTATTGGAAATTTACCTAAATGTGTGCACAAATATGTTTATGGCATCTATCAAACACGTAAAGCTAAAAGCAACCTAAAAGAGCATCCAGGGCCGGGGAGGTGGCTCAGTAGAATAAGCGCTTCCCTGGCAAGCGCAAGAGCCTGAGTTCAATCCCTGTTTCCACCCCCCCGCCAAAAAAAAAGTTAAGAGCATCCATAGGGTCATCCATGATGTGGAATGTGACACAGCCACTGACATGACAGCACAGGCTTCCAGTCAAAGGTGGTGGCAGAATGTGCATGTATTTACACCTTTTTGAAACATCCAAATAATGGAAAAACAAGCCTGGCATGATGGCACATGCCTGTAATTCCAGTATGTGAGAGATTGAAGCAGGAGGATTGGCATGAGTTTGAAGCCCAGCTTACATAGTGAGTTTAAGACCAGCCTAAAGTACATAGTAAAACTCTTAAAAAGAGAGAGAGAAAGAAAAGCAAGTAAAACTAGCACATGACTGAAAATCTAAGAATGCCACCTACAAATCAGTGCCATGAGAAACTTCTAGAAAAGAATAAAGTACAAGAGATGACCCTAGACATGATATAGAAGAAAGGAACTCATAACCTTAACAGGCAAAATCAAGGTCCCCCATAAAGGGTGAATTTCCCCAGCAGACTTTCTGAATAACTCGTGGATCTGAAGCAGCATCAATTCAGGAAAAGGGCACAGTGGGTGTGGTTGGTTGAGAAATTAACCAGAGGGCATGGAGACAACAACCCCTGCTCCAGAAGTAGAACGTCCTTGCTCTGATTGGAGTTGGCACAGCACGGTAATTGCATTACCGAGTCATATTCTGACTCTTAGCCAGTCAGGTCTAGGCCACAGAAGAGCTCTCTCAAGTGGGATGTGCAAGCCACTCCCTGCTAGAGTCAGCATGAAACTGGAGTGTGAGCACCCTGCACAGACTCCACTGTGCCCTCCGAGGCAGGTCAGCGGTGCCTCTTCCTCTGTGAGCACCAGGTCACTGAACATACAGGTGCTGGAGGAAGACACTGGCTACAAGCACGGACCAGCAGGACAGACAGGCATGAGGAAGGGAAGGGAAAGACAACTTACAATTTCTTGTCCGTTGACTTCTACATTTCTTGAATTTCTCTACCATAAATACACATTCATATTTATAGTTACACAGCATATACTTTAGTAATTTACATATTTAATTCACATATTTAAATCTAAATATAGACTCAGATCAATATTGATGTATAATGATACCAAGAGATGTTAAAATAAAAACAAGGGGGTTTTATTTTGTAAAAAAATGTAGTATTTTATGAATACATGTGCTTAGCAAAAAGTATGAAAAGATAAGCACATGATGTCAAGCACTTTTGGCTCCACATGAGGAAACCAAGGTGGCTTTTATTAATTGATATTTCTTTTTTGTACTTAAGGACCATTTCTGTAATAAGAAATGAGTAACAAGTCTTCTTTACATCTGTTATGGTTTGTGTCTAGTTGTCCCCCC